GAATTGCTCAGGCACTCCACACCCTTCTCTTACTCACCTTGGACTAGCAATGCTTCACCAAGCTGAATTTCTTCAGGGAAGACTCTGGATTGCCTCAGCATCTTTAAGGTCACATAACTTGGAAAGCCCAGCTCTCTCCTTGTCAAACTTCTCTTTCTTTCTTCATTGTTGCAGCCTGTTCTAGAAGTTGAGGTCACTCCATTGCTTTCAATCAAAGTAAATGCAATTCCTGATGAACAGATCCTGGCACACACTGGTGGTGGCCATGGTGCTGTTCTGGCCCACCATCTTTGCCATACAGAGTGTGGAGGTGGTGCCACTCACACCCATTGCCAGTTGGCCACAGAAGCGTGAGGCCTTAACTACTTAATTATATAATTTTTTTATTTAATTATATAAATATTTTTATTTTTCTAGAGGATTCATTTTTCATTACAAAAAGTTTTTTCTTCCATGAGACAGATAGCACCCTCGAGAGTCTTGATATCATGATTAATTCTCACACTCAGCCAGCCTTGAACCACAGCACACATATGCTCAGCATACTCTAGTAGGTCTCCAGCCTTGAACCACAGAAATATTTCCAGGTAAGTCATCGTCATGATTGTGTTTTACTCCTGTGCACCATCTGTACCCCCAATATGATATTTCTAAACAGTTCATAAAAGGTGTTGTTTTTACTATTAAGTATGGTATTTTTTTTTCTGTAGGGCATGTATGCTAAGAGACACAGAGAGTGAGGGAAAATGAGAAATGAGAATGAAAATGAAAATGAGAAATCATTCCCCAGAGCTGATTGCCATCCCTATTCTCCTCAGAATTTTGGACATGCATGTACAGGCAGCCAGTGTAATTTACACGCTGCTGGGTCTGAAACTTAAACTGCAGAGTTAGCTGCAGGATTGTTTTAAAACCATTTTTTTATGCTACTGGGGTGGTCCTGTTGGAATAAACTCTGCTGCCCATAGCTGCTGCTCTGTTGGCTATATTGATATGAAGACTGGCAATAGGATCCAGTTTGGGGGAGTGGGGTTAACTAATGGGAGGCTGCTGCCCATAGCTGCTTTGTTGACCATAGCTACTCTGCTGTCCATAGCTGCTTGGTTGCCCATAGGTGTTCTGCTGAGAACAGCTGTTCTGATAATAACTAGTCAGCTGTGTAGAGGAATAGCTGGTAGGAAGATAGGATGGACGTGCAGTGGCTGGCTGCATGGGGGAGCTCCCAGGTACCTGGAGATAACTGCAGTTACTTTGTCCATATCCTAGGCTGGTCTGTCATAACCCCCTGTGCTAGATTGAGGTTGACTAGTTTCAGTGGGCCTGTCACCATCCTGTGGCCTTGCAAGTGTGGTGGCTGCAGGCTGCTGCCCATAGGCAGGGTAAGCAGGCTGGGTGCCATATGCAGACTGAGTTGCATAGGAGGCCTAGGTGGTGGTGACTGTAGCAGTGGAGGTATCATAACCACCAGTGCTGTACCCCTGGACAGGCTGGCTGTATGCCGGGGTGGGGGCAGTTGAAGTTGTATAACCAGTAGGAGGCTGTCCATAAGAAGTTGCATAGGTGGTCTGCCCATAAGTTGCAATTGTCTAAGCCTGGGTATAGCTGACATTGGTGGGCTGTCCATAGGTTCCGTAGCTTTGTAGCCTGGGTGGACTGTGCATATCCTTGAGTGGGCTGGGCAGTGTAAGCACTGTAGCCCACTGGGCTACAGCTTGGCTATAGGTACTGTAGTTCATGGACGCCATTTTCTCTTCTTCCTCCTCAATCTCTCAACGTCTGTCTCCCTCTTGCTTTGTAAAATAATTTTAAATAGTTGTACGTGAGAGAAAATGGACTCAATTAGTTTCAAAAATTTGTTTAAATAATTATTATTTTTTCTTTTCAAATAATTATTTAAATTTATTTATTTATTATTATTGTTTAATTTGATGAGAGAGAGAGAGAGGTAGTGTGCGAGAGAGAGAAGGAATGTGAGAAACCAAGCCACCAGGTCCAGAACTCAAACTACGGTTGGCCATGTGGGAGTCCAGCACTTTAACCACCACACCACCTGCTATCTCATTGTTTAAATAATTCTATCTGTACTGACAAAGATTTTCTGCTTTACCAAAATTTAATCAAGCTTCCTAAACTTTGCCAAGGTCTGTTTCTTTACTTTTCTATAAAATCAAGTTAGGTGAGCCTGAGAAGTATCCCCCTTAACCCTAAGATTACCTCTTAGTAATTTACTATCCACTGGACTGCACCCTGCTGCATGGTGCTAAGTTCACACTTGTCCATCCTAATTCAGAGTCAAATCCATTCTCTCTCTCACACACAGTCTCATTGTTTCAGCTCCTGTACATGTCTCCATGGTCTCTAATAAAATATTATCAGTTACTGTGCTAATTATGTAGGTATATTTACTCATTTTAAAACTGCATTATAATTTTGGAATTACATATTTTTAAAAAGATTTTTGCTATAGGGTGGGCGTGTTCATCAGAGAGAGAGAGAGAGACAGAGAGACAGAAAAGGAAATATCACCTCCCAGGGTTAATGATCATGGCACCATCCCTTCTTGATTCTCCTGGGATTTTGGGCACATACACACATATGTGCCCTGTGTGTTTCAAGCTGCCAGATCCAAGTGCCAAACCATGGTAGGCCATGTGGAAGTCCAGCACCTGAACCACTACACCACCTGCTGGTCACTGTAATTTAAAAATTGTATTTTTTGACTAGAATTTAAAATTTGTATTTGTTGCCTAATTTTGTTACTCTTCTTTTAGAGGTTTTTGCCTTAGGCTGGGTGTGCTCACTCAAGAGAGAGGAAAACAGAGACTGAGAAAGTGAGAAATCAACCAACCAGGGAGATAGCCACACCATAATCTCTTCTCCTCCATTCTCCTCCTGGACTCTTAGACACGTACAGATGGGCCCAGTGTGATGGCACCTGCTGGCCCCATTAACTTTTTTTTTTTTTTTTTTTTTTAATGTTTTTGCCATAAGGCACATGCGCTCACTGGAGAGGAAGACTAGCACTGAAACAGAAAGTGAGAAATCACCACCCTGGGGAATGGCCATGCTGCAGTCCCTTCTCCTCACTTCTTCTCTATGAATTTTGGACATGCACACAAACATGCCTGGCATGAGTTTCAAGCCATCAGGTCCAGGACTCAAATGTGGTTGACCATGTGGAAGTCCAGCACCATATACGTTATGCCACCTGCTGGCCCTATACTACTTTTATAATATGTTAAGATGAAAAACAAGAGAAAGTAATAATAAACAAAGTCATATAAAACTAAAATGATTCTCCCCAACAAAGTAAACAAGAACAGATTTGAGAAACTACAGAATCATTGACATATTGCTAAATAATATATTACATAAAAATTTAATATATTTCAAATGAGTAAAAAAAATTCAGAAAACAAATAACTGAAATGAAAAAGTACAAAAAACTTGGATAGATATTTTTCAGAATAAAGTATACAAATGGTCAATAGGCATATGAATAAAACTCAACATCACTAATTATTAAGAAAATACAAATGAAAATAATTATGAAACATCACATCATACCTCTTTTTCTTAAAATATTATTTTATTCATTTTATCTATTTGTTGTTATTATTTTCTAGTTTGATTAGAGAGAGAGAGAGAGAGAGAGAGAGACAAAGAAATTGAAAAAGCAAGCCACTAGTTCTAAGACTCAAACCATAGTCAACCATGTGGGAGTCCAGCACCTCAACAACCGCAGGACCTGCAAGCCACCACCTCACACCTCTTAAGGTAGCTATTCTTCAAAAAAAAAAAAAATACAATTCAATAAATGCAAGAAGGAAAAGGAACTTTTGAACATTGTTGGTAAAAATATAAATCACTTAAACACAATGGAAAATAGTTTTCTAAGATTTTTCAGAAAATTAAAAATAGAACTGCCATATGATGTAACAATTGTATAATTGTTTATATATAAAAATACAAAATTAATATGGGCACTAGTTAATGAATTAATATGGGCATTAATATTAATCTTGATATTCTCCTGAGAGGGGAATGAAGAAGGGATTGCAGTGTGATCATCCCCCATGGAGTGATTTCTTGATTTCTGTCTGTCTGTCTCTCTTTCAATCCAGTGAATGCATATGCCCTATAACAAATGTCTCTCTAAATATAAATTAAATTAAAATGTTGGCCAAAAAATTAATACTTCAATTAGAGAAAAGGAATGAGTTCAAAGATTCTAATGTACATTATGTCAATGCAATTAACTACATTATATTGTATACATAAATCATTTTCTGAGAGTATATATTGGGTTCTCACCCTAGAAACAAATTGTGCAGTAATTAATATGTTGTTTTTAACAAATTATTTTATTGATTATTATTATTTCTCAATTTTGAACAAATTGAGAGAGGGAAAGTGAGAAAAGTGAGCCACCAAGTCTTGAGCTCAAACTGCAGTTGGCTATGTGGGAGTACAACAACTTAAGCACCATGCAACATGCTGGCCCTGGTAATATATGCTAAATTGCTCAATCCCCCAGAGGTTACAGCAGTTAAAATATCTTTCTGCATATCATATATTTATAAAAATTAAAAAATAGAAATACAAAAATAAATAAACAAGTCATAAAAAAATTTTTTTTTTGGAAAGGTTTTTTCATTATAGGGCGTGTGCGCTCGCCAGACAGACAGAGAGAGACATAGAGACAGAAAGTGAGAAATCACCCCCCAGGGGGGATGGTCACGCCGCAATCCCTTCTCCTCCATTCTCCTCTCGGGATCTTGGGCACGCATGCACACGTGCCCAGCGTGAGTTTTAAGCCACCGGGTCCGGGACGCGAACTGCGGTCGACTACATGGGAGTCCAGCGACATAGCCATTACGCTAACTGCTGGTTCCCAACAAGTCATAAAAATTTTTCAAGAATATTTTCTATAAAGACTGGTAAGAGAAAAAATATGATGAAAGATAAATGCAAGGTCAAGAATAGAGTTCTGACCCGGAGCGCTCGGGACTTGCAGATAGTGGTGACCGCGGCAACATGTCCGTGGCGTTAGCAACCCCGAGGCAGCAAGGCAAGGGAGAGATCACTCCCGCCGCGATTCAGAAGATGCTGGATGAAAATAACCATCTTATTCAGTGCATAATGGACTATCAGAATAAAGGAAAGACCTCAGAGTGTTCTCAGTATCAGCAGATGTTGCATACAAACTTGGTATATCTTGCTACAATAGCAGATTCTAATCAAAATATGCAGTCTCTTCTACCAGCACCACCCACACAGAATATGCCTATGGGTCCTGGAGGGATGAATCAGAGTGGCCCTCCCCCACCTCCACGCTCTCACAACATGCCTTCAGATGGAATGGTAGGTGGGGGTCCTCCTGCACCACACATGCAGAACCAGATGAACGGCCAGATGCCTGGACCTAATCATATGCCTATGCAGGGACCTGGACCCAATCAACTCAATATGACAAATAGTTCTATGAATATGCCTTCAAGTAACCATGGATCCATGGGAGGTTACAACCATTCCGTGCCATCATCACAGAGTATGCCCGTACAGAATCAGATGACAATGAGTCAAGGACAACTTATGGGAAACTATGGCCCCAGGCCAAATATGAATATGCAACCAAACCAAGGCCCAATGATGCATCAGCAGCCTCCTTCTCAGCAATACAATATGCCACAGGGAGGCGGGCAGCATTACCAAGGACAGCAACCACCTATGGGGATGATGGGTCAAGTTAACCAAGGCAGTCACATGATGGGTCAGAGACAGATTCCTCCCTATAGACCACCTCAACAGGGCCCACCACAGCAGTACTCAGGCCAGGAAGACTATTATGGGGACCAATACAGTCATGGTGGACAAGGTCCTCCAGAAGGCATGAACCAGCAATATTACCCTGATGGTCATAATGATTACAGTTATCAGCAACCGTCGTATCCTGAACAAGGCTACGATAGGCCTTATGAGTATTCCTCACAACATTACTACGAAGAAGGAAATTCTCAGTATGGCCAGCAGCAAGATGCTTACCAAGGACCACCTCCCCAACAGGGATATCCACCCCAACAGCAGCAGTACCCAGGGCAGCAGGGCTATCCAGGACAACAACAGGGTTACGGTCCTTCTCAAGGGGGTCCAGGTCCTCAGTATCCTAACTATCCACAGGGACAAGGTCAACAGTATGGGGGATATAGACCAACACAGCCTGGACCACCACAGCCACCCCAGCAGAGGCCTTATGGATACGATCAGGGACAGTATGGAAATTACCAACAGTGAAGAAATACTTACATTCCAATAGCCAGTATCTGTTAGCAGCCATATTGTCACCTCAGCACTGTGGACGCCTCCCTGTGAAGAGATCCTTCCATTCCATCTAGTTTTTGGAAAACCCTTGTGGATAAGTGACTGTTTCATCAGTAAGCAGCCAAGCAGCCTGTGTGGTTTAGTTGTAAAAGGCTTTAGTAGCTAAAAAATACTCTTGATTTCACATTTCTACTCTAGATGGCAACATTGGACAGAAGATGCAATGACATAACCAATTTGCAGTGATTTCGAAACTGTGTTTCAAATGGACTGTTACAGACTGAAAGGTGTGAACAGCTTTGTATGTTTATGAAGGTTAAGGGAATTTAATACTTTTCCACAGATTCTTTTATAACAGGAAGAGGTAAACGTACACTTTTTACAGCAGCAATATTTTGTATATTATGTTTATTTCATGTGCATATGCAAGGCGGTACACTACGCACTGGACAGAATGAGAAATCCTCTGTTAATGTGGACTGGAGGACGGTAGATGCTTGATTGTTTGGGTCTCAAAATGGTGTACTGTAAAGAGAAAGGTGAGAGAGAAGACAAAGCACACCATATGTCCTCTGTTGTGTTCTTAGAGAGGAAATTCACATCCCTTTTATCTATTAGAGAATCCAGGCCACTGTGATATAGCTTTGAGTAAAAAGACATTTTTTTAAAAGCCTTCCAGTTTTGTGGACTAAAACCTTTTTATAAAGATCATTTATAATACTGTTTTAAAATGTGAGGCAATAAGAATTACTTTATGTTGGATCTGAAGAATCTTGAGTAACAGTTTCAGGTAGATGAAGTGGTACTCCTCTCCTAAAATAGCAATAACTGAAAGTGAAAGTGTTAATTTTACTTTATTTGAGTAATCAGGGAACTTAGTAATATCAAAACATTTTATAAATGATATCAGAGTCAGCATTGATCCAGCAATTTTATTTTTTAACATTAGAAGGAAAATTGATTTGTATAATAAAATAGTTCAGAAGACTCTACAAACCCTTTATTTGAACTTTCTTAACTGGAAATAATGCCATTTGTAAAGGAGCATTTTCATGTTTTTCCCTTTTTTTATGTTGGTTAATATAATACAAAGAGATATTTAGGAAAATGCCTATTGAACAGGTTTATTCTGATCTGTATTAAAAGCTCAGAGGTACATTCTAGATCACCTTGTTTATTAACATGGCATATTTAATCATTATTTGAGATTGTCCTGTGCCTGATCATTTTAGCTAAATTCAGGGATACTGCATTGGGCAGGAAAGCGTGCATTAAGAAATTTCTAACCATGATTATTTAAAATAATCTGAAAACATCTAGCCCAAAGGTAAGTTGCTATTTTCATCACAGTTGCGTATGCCAGGGAATAAGATATATTCTTTATAATTGAATTGGTTTTTCCCACTTCTAACTGGAAACAAAACAGAAGGGGTGCCATAAATTTGAATAAGCAGAACATACTTTTCTCAATATACTGTAATAGATGGAGGAAAAAAAAAGAATAGAGTTCTTTTTAGTGTTTGCATATTAAATCATATAATGAGTACTTGACACCTGAATTATCAGTGGACAGAGGAGAGGATATCATTCTCAGGGGTATGTGATTAATTTTGTGGAACATTGGAATTTAAGAATAATCTAATCTTCTCTGGAAAGTATCCTACTTCTTTGTTAGTTATAAGGCTCATTTGTGCCATGATGGTGTTGCAGACCTGAGAGTGATATTGGACATAGCAATGAAATCCCTTCTGTACACTAGTGAGGAAGCCACCAATAGCTAATATTATTCCTTCTTCTCCATTGCTAAGGCATCATACAGAATTAGGCTATTGTGGAATTATTTTTATTTTCATTTTTTATTTAAAGAGTTACTTTTACTATAAGGCACATGTGATTGCCAAGGAGACAAAGAGAGAAAAAGTGAGAAATCACCACCAGTGGGATGGCCTCACCACAATCCCTTCTCCATTGTTCTCCATTCCAGGATGTTTGGCATGCATACACAAGTGCTCAGCTTGAGTTTGAAGCTCCAGGATCCAGGGCTCAAACCATGGTCAGTCATGTGGGAGTCCAGTGCCTTAACCACTATGTCACCTGCTACTCCAACTTTTGTATATTTTAACACCATTCTAAAAATTCCAACTTATAAGAGCAGTTGTGTGAAGCAAGTACTTTGGCCTCTCTTAGTCACAAAATTACAAAGCTTATTGCCTCAAGATGGGGTGGTCCCCAAATGCTTACCTAGCCATTATGAAATCATAGTCTGGTGGAGGAAAACAGTGCAAAACATGTTTTCCCCAAATTATTTTTCACTAAAATGGAAGGTGACAGGTGCAGAACCCCAGGGCAGAGAGATCCCCAGAGTCCCTGGATGGAACCTAAGTGAAACAATAAAAAGACAGGGAAACCAGAGCTGTTGAGATAAAGCACATGACTCAGCACCATGGCTCCTTAAAATGCCTTTTTAAAGGTTCTAGTTATGTCCCTGTCTGTCATGCCAATCTGGAACATATTTTGTACAGGTTGAAGGCAAACCGTGGAAGTAAGAATCCTTTGTGCCCTCCACAGAATTGACTCTCCCAAAACAGGGCTCAGCTGGCAGACACAATCCAGTTCCATCTCCTTATCAACTCACACACATAGGGTTTTTAATCTGTGTTGGGCCAGCTCGGACATGTCATTACTGTTGATTACTGTCTTGCTACTTCTGCAGCCTTTACAAACGGCATGTAAGATGACACATTTTAGCTGTCGTGAATACCTGAAGCCAAATGTCTACCGGGATGGGGACCTGGTACTGGGTGGGTTTTTCCCACTTTATGCCATGGGAGAGGAAAAAGATCTAAGCCGACTACATTTTCTGATGAGACCATCTCAAGTAGTGACAGAACCTTGGTAAGTTGTTGGTTATATGTATGTGTAAATGTGTTTGTATCTGTGTAATAATGTAGTTGGTATATATGTATGGTGTTTAATCCCATTGAGAATAATCAAGTGTGCACAGAAATGAGAGAACAGCACAGTTGTAAACTCAGGATGCATTCTTACCCTTTTATAATCTTTCTTCTCATATTCAGTGTTTCTCCATTTCTTTCAAGACAGAAGAGAGAATATACCTGTTGTCCACTCTATCAGCACTATCCTCATATTCAGTCTTTAGGAGGCTCAGGATGAGTGAGATCGTTGGTACTTTAGCCCTTTTACCACCAAGACCCGTATAGTAAGGCTTGCATGCATATTGTGACACTGAGCTCCTGACATGAAGTTAATGCTATAATCAAGGTGCTGCCTCTGGGTATTTGCTGCTGACTAGAGGATGGTAGAAGTGTGCTTTGGGGAGAAGCCATAGGTATCTAAAGTCCACCACCACATATAAACCAGCGATGATAGCCACAAACCAATCCCTTCTCTACACTCCTCTCGGGATTTTGAACATGCATGCACATATTCCTGGCAAAATTTTCAAGCTTCCAGACCTGAGATATATACTGTAGGCAGTCATATGGGAATCCGATGCCTTACCCACCATGCCACCTCCATGGTATCTTTTATACCTCCATGGTATCTTTTATAGCACAGTAAAGAGAGCTTCCTTGAAAGTCTTAAAATATACATAAGAAATTTGGGCATGAGATTTTTCAGTAGTTCAAGTATATTAGTTTCAAATCTGAATATAATAAGGATAAGTAAAAATGTATACCCAAAGAGCAAGGTGGAAGTAATTGGGTAGCAAATTGCTAACTGATAACACAGGTAATAAATATTCTGGCCAAATCCACTTGTATCAATTATATACAAGTTTGCAGATAGGCCTGGGAGAACTTTCCAAAGTCTGATTAAAGCTTTATCTAGCACAAGCCAGCAAGTGAAATAGTGATTGAGTCAATGTACTCCAATCTCATTGTGATTCTAGTTGCAGACTCGAGGCTTGAATCTCACTTTTTGTGTTCCACTCTATGACTGGTTTCAGTCTGATTTTAGGCCAGCCAATGTAGAATCATAAATTCCTCTGAAACTAGTAATGGGCGCATAGAAAACATTCACCGGCCAAAAGAAAGCAAAACCACAGTAACTGCTTTATGCAGAACTCATCTCCTATCTACCTAGGCTGGGGTCTAACTCCTAACTCAGCATAGAGCTTAAGGCAGTTGGTTCCCACATGGCTGACTACATGGTTGGGGTCCTGAATTGAGTTGTTTGAAAACCATGAGAGGTAGGGGTATGCCTGCATGTCCAATAATCCCAAGAGCAGAATCAAGGAGATGAATTGTGGCAGGACCTTCTCCCTAGGGGGTTATTTCTTTATTTCTCTCTCTCTCTATTTCATTCTGGTGAGTGCATACACCCTATAGAAAAAAATGTAACAATAAAACATAAAAACCAACTCAGAAAACTAGCTCTGATTGCATAAAAATTTTTAGTCTAACATGCTTTATTAACAAATCAGAGAACTAGTAGAAGGTTGCAGTTTGAATCCTGAACTTGGTGGCTTCAAAATTATGCTGGGCACATGTAAGCATGGGCCCAAAATCCCAAAAAGAAAATGGAGGAGAAGGAATTGCAGCATGACCATATCTTCCTGGGGGTGATTTTTTACTTTTCCTCTCACTGTGTCTCACTCTCTAAGGTAAGTGTACACACACAAAGACAACAACGTTTCAAAAAAGAAAAGAAAAAAATACTTTTGAATGTTTAAATTAAGTTCAAGATTTAAGAAATTAACACCAGAATAATTACACAGAGAATAGAGAACCAGTTAAAGACAACATATAACATTAATTTAATAACCAAAAATGAGCTATTTTAAAAACTCAAAACATACTTTTAGCGAATATGCTTTTAAAATCTGAGAATTTCCAAGGGAAAAATGTTATAATTTTTATAAAAAATTATAAAGACCAATGAACTACAGAGAAATATGTTTTTACAAATTTGTAAAAGGACTTGATGTTACCAATAAGTGACTAGAAGATTTGAATGAAATAATTTTGAACAAAAACATATTTAACAACAATTTCTTCAGAGTTAACATAATAGTGTATAAGATATAGAAAAAGCCACCTAAAAGTACCTGAAATGTGCTAAATGGCTGAAAAATTTGCAAGACAGATACTGTTTATACTTTCTCTATTTCTTTAGAGAATTGTTTATTTAATATTCTCTATCATTATTATTATTTTGTTTTTCATTTGCAACAGGTATGTGTCCTCACAAGAGAGATAGAGAGGAATGGACAAAGAGTGAGAAATCAACCTGCCAGGTCTGGGACTTGAGCCATGGTTGGCCATGTGTGAGCCCAGGGCCTTAAACACCATGCCACCTGCTGGTCCTGACAGATACTATTTAAATGTTCCAGAACATAGGAAAAATAATAAATGCTGCAATCATGATTTCTGGATCTAAATAGAAACAAGGTGACATGTGAAATATACCCAATTCTAGAACAGTTATGAAGGTGAGTGTATGCATGGTGAATGTAGCTCATAATTGAGTACTATTCATTCTAATAGGCCAAGGGAGTATGATACCGATGTTCTCATCACAGGAAATATGAAATATTTCAGGTGATATATGTGGTAACAGCCTTAGTCCAATTGTTGATGTTGTATTTAAAAATCCCACACTACTTTGTATTTTATAAACTATTTTATAAATATAGATATCTGTAATTTGTCTATATGTAAATTTTTAAAATGTATGATTAGAGTGAATGTGTGCACTTTTTAGTCACATTCTTAAAGAAATTTGTCTTCTCCATACATGGATGATTCTCTTTTAAAATCACCTCTGTTCAGACAACAGTGTCATCATCTAGCTAAATGACACCTCATCTCACTCATGAGCCCTTTAAAGCCTCTTTTCATTGTTTTGACATCATTGGTTTAAGCAGAGAGAAAAAAACATTTCAAAGTTTTCTGGAGCCCTGGGAACA